TTCCCCTAAAATTAAGTTTACGGACGTTATTAGAATGTACTAAGATACTCAGAATAGAATTACTTATAATTTCTAATATATAATATATATCAAGTTTAAAATATTGATAGGATCTTAATATTTAAACTTTTAAAAAAATTTAATGTCAGAAAACATATTAATTCTAAAATGTAATCTTATTAAAATTTGCAAAATAAGTATTAATTAAGTTATAGTATATTAAAATATAAAAATTAAATATTAACAAGAACTATACTACTAAAATTTAAAAAAAAAATAAAAAAAGAAATTAACTTAAATATACATAATACCATAACAAAAATTTTAGGACTAAAAAAATCATATTCGTGAATTTTTTGGAGATGAATAGAACGAATTTTATTTTTTTATCGTCTGCTATTTTTAGACATATGATACAATTCTAAATTAAAAGAAAATCAAATATAATAAATGAAATATTTACATTACAATGACATGATTAATTTTGTAAGGATTCTAAATTCTTGACTTCTCAAAAACTTGATAATAGTGTGGAACAAAGTCTTAATTTGTTATGAAATTTGATAAACATGAGCTGGGGAAGAGATTTAGTGACAATGTCAATGTCTTGGTCTTTATAATAAATGACACGAACTTTTAATTTCTTTGAGTAACTTGTTTACGGTTGATAATTAATTTTAATATATGTTATTTTTTTTTATAAAAAACTGGATTGAAGTGAGATATATAGCACCAATATTGTCATCCTAAATAATATGTGAAAATTTTAAAGATAGTCCAAGTTCAAGAAATAATGATTGTAGCTAGAGGAGTCCAGCAATGGCACTAGCAACAATTTTTGCTCACCTTTGGTTGTAAAACACACGATGATGGATTGCTTCTTTGTTTACCAGTAAATAAAGTTAGAGTATGAGTTTATAACAAACTCATTTTATAGAAAAATGATAATCAAGATAGTGACTTCTAATCTACATGAAAAAATATTTGCATAGAAAATGAGTATGAAACAAATCGATGAACCAAATACAAGGTTTGTTTGACATGTTGAAAGAGTTGTTTGACAACAATCCAGTAATAAATGATGAGATATGCATGAACTGGCATACTTTTTTCACATAAAATCCAAGATCAATTTTGGTAAGATTGGTATATTGCAAGACTCCAACCACCTGTTTTTGTTGTTCTAAATCAAAAAATGGTTGTATGCTAATCTTGACTAAAATAGATATGGTAGCCATTGTGGTAGAATAATATTTGGATTAAACGATTTTAGTTTTTTTCAATATATCATTGAGATAATATTGTATTGTGAAAGGGGTTAGAGTGCATTTGTCATGGAAGACCTTTATGGTAAGGAAATAGCGCTCAAATATTTGATTGAAATTCTAGAGTGTGGTGATAGTCTTACATTAATATAATCAACATATAGCATAATAAAAATAATATGTCAATCTCGTTTTAAAATAGATAAAAGGTTACTAGTCTTAGAGTCAAAAATCATTTTTTCAGTATAAACTAACTAAAACAAATAACTACCATAAGTGCTTGTATAAAGCCAAGGGGTTGAATCATGCAAATTTTCTCTTTAAGATGACCGTATAAATAGAATTTGAGATATCTAGTTGCTTAATGTGCAGTAATTATAATGAAAAAATATTAAACAAATAGTTATATCGTTAAAAATTAGGTTAAATTTCTTTTTGTAATCAACTTATTCTCTTTGATTTAATCCTTTTGCTATAAGAGTTTATATTGATAAATATTTATGTGGGATGTATTTTGGTTAGATAAACTCATCTGTTACCAATAAGATGAGATTTCAATTTAAATTTATGGACTAAAAATCAGGTGTGGTTGAAATGAGGGCGTAAATTTCTTTTACCGTGTTCTTTTTCCATACTTCAAGTTATTGACTTAGTTATAGGTGATTGGTTTAGTTTTTACTATATAGTTATGTAGAAAAGGTAGAAAGATGAGAGAGATTGTTTTGACATCTTTAAATTGAAGATACACGAAGGATCATAGGGTGAGTTTGAATAGAGGGAGGAATAAGTATGTGAAAATAAGATCGGACAATTTGTGATAAAAGAGTTGGAAGAGGAAGAGCATAACGATAAAACATAAGGTTAATCATGAAGTTTTTTGATAGAGATGATGTATGTGAATAGTAGGTGATGTAGGTCATTGGGCATGAAAAAATTGTTATTGTTGAGATTTCAACATTAATTTGACAATTAAAAGATGAGGGAATTTTCTATTGAAAGAAATAAAGAATGTTAGTTTAGGTAAGGGATGATGTATATGGAGGAATAAGTGTATTAGGTTCATTGAGCATAGAAGAGAAAGAACTTGAATTTAAAACATTAATTTGTGAGAGATTTTTGGACGGAATTACAAGAAAGATTAATCTTGAATGTTGGGAGGTTAACAAGAGGCATTTAAGGGCAAATTTGGAAGAGAGAAAGCACCTAGAATGAAATAGTCTAAATTTGATTAACATTAAATTTGTGGTCTACAAAGGGAAATTTTTTTAAGGACTTAAAAATAATTAATCATTCTAAAGTTAAGTGTTTTGTTTTCAATTGCAAATTTTATGTTACATCTTTGATTTAAAAAATTCATTGCTTATTGCTTATTTTTGAAAATCAGTCGGCATCTCTCTCCTTCTTAATAAAATATTTCTTACTTACCAAAAAAAGGAAAGTAATGTTTCTTCTAATTTTGATCAGCATTCCAAATTTTAGAAAGCTTTTTTTTTTTTTTTCTTCTTAAAGTTGCGAGACACTTGTGAAATTAAAATGTTTCTTTATTCATTCCTATTTTTCTTATAATTTCTTAATTTTTAATACTTATAATGCCACCTACAAAATTATAAAAATACTTATAGATCATAATGAAAACAATGATAGTTCTATATTGTAAAACAGAACAAGAATCCTGTATGAAACTCTAAAGTTTTAACTATGACCGAATTAATATTGCTAATTATGATTAGCAATCTATATTAATCGAACTGCTAGCATGTAATAGTGCTTGATCTCATTATTTACTGGTTAAATATATATATATATAGTTATTAATTCGTTAATGTTAAAAATTCCTTATGGGGCAGCTAGCTTATCTTATTATGGTACATGTAACATATATCAAGCACATAACTGATTATTGAGTCGTGTATTATTTTTTCAGCTTCAGAAAAAGTGAATATTAGAATTTTGATTTTTTTAAAAGTAAAAATAAATATACCAACGTTATATTTAAAAAAAAAAATATATATATATATATATATATACACATCAACCACCAGGCACTAGACTTGTGCTAACTATGTGTATATAGATATACATATATATATATATATATATAACCTCTTAAAGGTTCCTTGTTTACAGCAAAGAGGAGTAAATAGTATATACAATTGACATGATGGTAAAGAAGCAATGATACAAGCATGGTGGTGGGAAAAAATAAAATAACATAGACAATACACCTAATTTATATAATATAGATAGAAACTAATGACGTGAACCAAATTAAACAGTCTCTTTGATTTGAAACGAATATGGATGTATCTGATTGATGAGGCATGGATCCCACAAATGCAGATGGGCCAAACCATGATCAGCCTTTTTATATGCACATAACACCAAAGAGGAAACCGAAAACAGATATTTGAATTGCCAAATAAATATATATTATATATATTATTGAAGGTTACCGGTGTCTCCGTGCATATATATTATCTATTAATATATATGTGATATCTAGCTGGAATGTGGTGTGACTGGAACTATATGTATAAAACTGTTAATTATATGTACATATATATATATATATTTGTGTAAATGAAATGAAGATTCTTGGTTCTTGAATGA